CCTGGACTTATAATTTCTAATTATAAGTTTGAAATCACCAACCCGCATTGAGCAAGCGTGGTGATTAATGCTCTAACCTTCTCCGTGTGAGAAGAGGCCTTTGCTCAGCAGTGGGCACTTATAGGCTGATGATGATGATGATGATGAATGGCAAAGTCTCATCCAGGCCTCAATGAAACGATTATACTTCTATGTTCTAGGCTAAATTAGTTGTCCAAAAATTCGTTCTATACTTACACCCTGTACAAAACTGTAGAGTGATCCTTCGAACAGTAGACACACATTGTTTCATTTTCAATAGATACTCGTATAAGGAATCCAAAATTCGAATAAATTTTAAAACTTTGTTTGAATTATATTCCAGTTCTTATTTATTGACACATTGAGCGAAATTAAAATGTTAAAATTTTCTTCACACTCGCATTTTGAGAGTCACGAGTAAAAATGTACAGAGTGCGCAGTTTGCAATCCAAACTTGAGCATTTGGTACATAAATTCCTGATTGCTAGCCTCGTTTGAAACGTTTACCCACTTTCCTGAACATTTATTGGAATGTAGGAATTACATTACATTGGGGTGGTTTGTGTAGAACAATATTTACACGAACACTAACATGAATTTCTAAATTGATAAATTAAAAGATGAAGAGACTCTTATTCCCAATCGTTAATTGAGAAAAGTACATTATTTTAAAATGAATAAACCTTATTATTAAAAAAATACAGTTAAGTAGTAGAAAAACGTAGGAGAGCCATTCAAGAGTGGAAGAGTCGTTCTTCGACACGAATGGTTCGGCTTGACCGGAATTATAAGAGATGTAACGGTCTTGCATAAAACTGGCGTGAAACAACCACAGCCTTGTGTTTCGCCGTGTGAGTGAGTTACCGATGGCCCAATTCTTCCCCTTCTCCAATCGCTAAATCTCAAAAACCCTAATCCAAAATGGCCGACAACGAACTCCTAACTTTTCTGACACTGCTTGTGTTTGGCGTCTTATCACATAAAAAAATAAAAATACCATTTTATATAAAAAAAAACAACACTATTATCACTCAAAAATATATCAGTCCAAAAATACATGTGCAAGTGGGTCATCAAGTTACTGTTACATGGTCTAAACGCGGCACAGAGTCAGCGACACTTGAAACGAAATGGTGTCGCCGTCGCACGCTAACTTCCAACGTTTGTTACATCCTGCCTCAAAATAGCTGCAGAGATTTTAAACTTTGATTTGTTTTCTGTACGTACATGCTATATTATAGTTGTTTGTACCTACATCCTAGTTGGTTTTGCATACATTTCTATGACAAACAAAATGACATTATTTTTTATGAAAATGGGCACTGGTTACTTAATTGAGCTAAGCAATTAGCGGCAAATATGTGATGGAAAACATCTTGTGGAAACCTGGACTTATAATTTCTAATCATAAGTTTAAAATCGCCAATCCACCTTGAGTAAGCGTAGTGATTAATTGTCAACCTTCTCCGTGTGAGAAGAGGCTTTTCCTTAGCAGTGGGCATTTATAGGCTGATGTGTGCATTAATAACTAGTTAAGATAAATATAAACATTATCTTAAAAAATAAAAATGCCTAAAGGTAATTTTATGTAAACATAATAAAAATTTGTTGAAACAATTTGCTTATGGAAAATAATTAATTAGTGAAAAATGGCATAAGTATTTTTCCCAATTTTATATTTGGGATAAGACCCTATCTTCTGGATAAATCAAAAAAAAAAATACAATTGAAAGAAGTTCAAAGACGATTTGTTTTTGAATTTCCTTTCATGTTTACAACCGATGGTGTCTTGAGAGTTCCGCTTAAGAAATCAGCCTGAGAACCCCTGGTATACTTTTAAACACCTCCCTAGGGAGACAATATCTGGCAGGCCAGTAATCACGAAAGCATTATTTGAAGGAACTTACAACGTTCTATCAAATCGATATACCTTAGAGCAGCATTTTTTTTTTAATTTAATGCCATGAATTCTCGATTTTTTACTTTCTTAGCAGACTAATGTCAATAATAATAAGTTGAATTTTTACCAGATTTGTTATGAGTGTATGGCTCGCCTTTTATGGATAGGGATATGGAGATTTAGGGATTTAGGAGGGATTGGGGAATTGGAAAAAGGATTAGGCCTCCCGTAAACTTACTCCTACGGAAGGCACGGATACCTAAAAATCCTTTTTGGATTATTATGAAGCTTTTTCACGTAACTGTTTGAAGAAGGCATCGACAAATTTTAAGACATACTAGGGTCTCATATTCCAACAGTTGTGCGGGTAGGTAAGTCGTTAATCATAGTCACTTACTCTTTTGACAAATAAACAAGTGCTAGGATTGACAGCACCTTTTTACACCACTCGACAATTCATAATATTTTATTATAACGAGGAATTATGTTTTGCTACTATGTAACCGATAAAAGTTATAACTTGTTCTATAACTTACCGTTAGAGCGATTCAGTTCGAGTACGTGGATCTTCGCTCAAGTTACAACATGCTTGCATCGGAAGAGAAAGCTTATAACGTATCCCACAGCTACCAAGTTTTCAATATAGGAAAACTTTTTCAATTGTACACAAATATTGCTCGATTTTTTTTTATATTTAACTGTAGATGTTTTGCAGTATTCTATAAAATACATTGCCATTTTTAAGGTTTTGTAAGCATGGCTGGAATATAATTATGTATGTTGTCTTATTTCCTGGTACACAGAACTATGAAATTTCTAAGTCAAAGTTACTATTATGTCTTTTCTAAGAATAAATTATGAGACTTATTCCTCTGTTTTGTGCTAACCGCAGCTTGACGAACTTGCCACTGTAAGTGCGGGTTTGGACCAGAACCAGACCCGAGCATACGGCGCGTAGCGTTCCGCGCGCATCTCAAAGAGCCAATAGTTTTTACTCAGTAAGAGTCTGACACTACCTTCCGCCCAAATCTGGGAAGCGGGGGAAGGCATTAGATGATTTTCCCCCTCACAAAGAAAAAGCTAGAAGAACTTAGCAATCTTAATAATCAATCTTCACAGTTAAAATATATATCTATTCTACAAAATTATCTGTAGGTCGACCTAAAGTTTTGGTACTTTGTGTTTTACAAAGTGGCGAAACACGTCGCGTTATTGTCACTTAAGTAACTCAGTGGTCTCAAAACTATTTAAAGGCTGTCCTATTAGGGAACATCAACGAGGAAAATATGCGTCTACCTACTTCGTGCCCTCCCATAATTACTCCCAACATATCCTTCAGACATTCCTTACATTCGTTTCGCGTGTAATAGTGGTCTCGCCCCAGACTCACATATACCAATCTTACCACAATCGATATAAGGTTCACTCTCGTTCGTTTCCGCCGTTTCGATAATTTTGCAACGGTTTAAATCCGCTTTTCTCCAAATGTCTGTGTTCAGACCGCTATCCTATTCTTTTCCATCCTCTTTTATGTTATCCTAAAAGAAAATTAATTAAGTGCTATTGTTCTCTTTGAGTGCCGTTTTGTAGGCATCTGGTGAGTCTTATTGTTAAGGGGTCTCGGTATTAGAGTACGTTTATGCTAACTCATTATTTGGAAATGGTTTATTTTTAATTGGAGTCGTCCATCATCATGATCTGCCTGTAAATAGCTCGCTGCTTAGCAAAAGCACCAATAATCAGCAAGCATGGTGAAGGCAGGTGATTTCAAATTTATACTTTCTAATAGTCTAAGATTAGCAAACTGAAGTGGGAGTGGGCAGGTCACATCTGTCGAAGAACCAATGACCGCTGGGGTAAACGTGTTCTAGAGTGGGACTGACGACATCCGCAGGGTGGCTGGCAGTGGTTGGATGAGAAGAGCTGAACATCGAGCTCAGTGGCGTGCAATTGGGGAAGCCTATGTCCAGCAGTGGACAACAACAGGCTGATGATGATGATGATGAATTATAGTACCACGAGGAAAAATAGACTATAATTCATCATCTCATATAACTCATTCAGCCTATGGTCTTTTTATTCTTACGTTTTAATAATTAGTTAGTGTCGATCGACGTCCGTTTCATATTTTTTGAACAAATAATAAATAAAACTTAGTACACTCATATCTATACTAATATTAAAGGGCTGAAAAGTTGTTTTTTTAATGCGTTAATCTCCAGAACTACTGGTTCGAATTGAATAATTCTTTTATGTTTGTTAGTAAATTTATCGAGAAAGGCCATAAAATATCACGCTATGATTTGCAGGAGCCGAGCAGCGAGTGAAACTGCGCGACAGAGGTTAGTTAGAAATATATATATCTAGTTAGTTAGTTGACTGAAAACAAAATTTCCTTATGCCTCATGCCTAATGGGTAATGTTATGGCAAATTTGTGGGAAGTAAAAGTGTTAACATTCACTATGAAACAAAAAAAAATCAACATCAAGCATGAATATAAGCTTGTGGATCAACTAGAAAACTGGTAGTGGGCGACCCTATGGGCCTTTATTAATATGGTAGCCCCCGTCAGAAGCGACAGCCAATGACATGGGTACATTGATTCGTGTCTCAATGCGGGACTTTTTACTGTGCTCGGTTTTCCGAACATACAAAGGATACGCCAATTGATTTATTTAGGCATATCATTTATGTGGATATTTTGTTTTGGTGTAGTTTGTAACGTATACTCAAACTTATCAAATGCTGTAGTGAATAAACTTCAGCGTATTTAAAGGTCTAAGGGCCGATTTCACCAAAGTGGAATAACTTTTATTCGAAGAATAAAGTCGATATTTACTCCCAGATAAACACATTTTCATTTCACCAAACATTTATCCTTAGTATAAACAAGCTAAACGAGAGTAAGCCTTATACTGCCGATTTTGGGGGAATAGCGCGTTATTCTTCGGATAAAATAAAAATGGCGTCGGATGTCTCAGTCAGCTGATTAGTTGAGTAGGTTAGATGTAGTGTACGCTTTTGTCTTGCATTATTTCTGTTTCTCGATTTTCGCTAATTTTGTTTGTTAATGATATAATGCAGCGTTTGAGAAGCATGATATCCGATAGTGAAAGCGATAGTGATGATGAATATAATATGAGACGTCCAAGGTGGATAAAAGAAAGAAGTGAGCATTCTTTTGCCGCATTGTTATGCCGTCTGTTCTTTTGTTTTCTACTATACTAAAATGTTCGGTGACCAAATCAACTAATAAAATTTTCTCAGCCAAATGCCAATTTGGTCCTCTTTTGCGATCCGACATCTTCACAAATTTTACAAAATTAGGTTTTCAAGAAAGCAACAGAAGGGAACGCAAATAATTCACCTCAGATAATTCACCAGACAATATAAACTATTCACCTCAACACAAACAAGTCACACAGAAAATCCCGCAAAATGAATAACCAAAAGAAAATGAGGTTATGTTTATTAAAAAACTGACATAATAACCTTGCTAAAGTTAGAAACCTCGAAGTCACTTATATTGTTCTTGGGCGACTCCTACTTACTACATTTTGACTGCATTTTAAACTCATTCGTTCATTCATTCTAAAACTGTTCACCACAGATAAGCAAAACCGTATTCCTAAGAATAGTTAGTCTTGGAGTATTAAAACTGATGTGTAACATGGTGAAATGTAAAGCAAGATATTCTAGAGTAAATCTGAGGAATAATTTTATACTGGTATAGTTATTCTCGGATAAAGCCGCCGTTGGTGAAATCGGCCCTAATTTCAATATCTTCGTATAAAAATAATTGCTACATGAACCCAGCTGCCCTATGTCAGAACTGTTGTATCAATAATACGCGTTAATTCGTAAAATAAGTACGTCTGCTAGTTTCAAAATTATCCGGTTCAAAACGAACCTATACTACTATTTCTATTCAAATACTTGCACAATTTGAATTATTTACACAGCCAGATATACCTTATTTAAGTTGACTCAAATCCGATACCCAAGACACATAATTTAAGTTTTTAATCAAGTCTGAAATTGTCGGTCAATGTACAGGTCGTTTTTTTAAATGAAACAAGCCTACCGCAATCTACCTAAACTTCCGCAACTCCTGTAAGCCAGGATGTGTACAGTAGACACAACCTTGAAAATACCGGAACACTGTTATCATTGGACAAGCCGTATAATTAAATATAAAAACTTCATATTTTTACTTCGAATATCTCCACTCTCCCCTTTTTCGTGAAATAAAAGGTTTGGTTAATATTAGACATAAATCGGTATAGTTCTTCAAACTGAAGGACCTAGAAAATACTCTTCAGAGTCTTTGTTAGAAATCTGTTATATCCACGACAAAGTAAAGCAGGAGTGATCCGCATTCCGCATACATACATACTGAACTTCAAATAGCCTGTTAGGAAGCCTACAGTTTGATTGTCTGTAGGATTCCTATATTGAAGTATCTGCCTTGAAACATTCAGGGCGTTTATTGTAACTTTCGTGAGACATTCTAAATTAATTATTATGTTTTCGCCTTACGTGATAATTTGACGAGATACTCGACTAGTTTCAAGCCATGCTAGAGGCCCATATTCATGAGCAGCAGTCCGCGACGTTGCGACTGTCGCGCTGCTACTCAGTAGCTACTCAGTAGCTACTCAGTAGCAGCGCGACAGTCGCCACATCGCGTGGACAAGCAAAATTATTAATTCAAGGCGTTTCTTTAACACTCTCTATTAAAGAACTTTGTGTAGTAAATAACGTGAGTTACATTAAATTTATTGTAAGTCAGTCAGTTTAGTGTAAGTCCCACTGTGACTTGAAACTAGTAGAGCTTTTCTCGTTTAAATCACAAGAGTTAGTCGTTGTATCCAAAAAAAAAATTCATTTTTTGATTTAGACCCATTTTTTAGACCCATTTTTATCACTGTTATTGGTATTTTAGTGTCGGTAAAATTTGTATAGAAGTTTCTGAAGCACTCCTGATTAAAAAGTGCAGTTTGATGTGGATCAGAATTTTAATTCAATGAAAACGAATACTAGGAAAAATGCGTTCCATCGTGAATTATTTTCAAGTAGCTTCTAATTCTTTGCTTCAAACGGTATATCGTAGTAGCTTTATTGAGTGTAAAATGCTGCAACAGAAAAATGTGACTTTTTCGAGTGCCTTCAGTGTATATTGGCGCAGGGGCATTAGCATTTGATATTACATTCGTTAAATTCCACTTACAAGTCAGTAAGAAAGTATTCAAAAAAAAAATGAATGTTTCTAAACTATAATAATAAATCATATAAAAATAAATCATAAAACGTTTTGCTTAGCGCATAAGTCTAAAACGCCTTTAGTAATGTTTTGATGTAGAGAGAAGTTAATGGTAGGTGCAAGAAAACGAGATATTACTTTATGATATTATTTTATACACTTACGTAAGTAATATACACCCCTACTATCCAATGAGAAATTTCCATTTTAATTCGATGACTCAAAACTAATGAATGCAAATTCGACACCAAGCTTCCCAAGAAATGGATTATATAAAGATTCGATGTTTTCTTTTTGCAGTATATCATCAATACCCTTCTTGAGCATAAGCATCTTCTCATGTAGAGAAGTTTTGACTACTAATCAATATTAGAATCAGAAATGATTGGTCCAGGTTTCCTTGCAGTTGCAAGAAGAAGAAGGAACGGATGGGTTTTAGTCAGTAAGAGTCTGACACTCCCGATGTCTACATCAAAGCAGGTAAAGATTTGATGATTTTTTCCCAAAGGTTAACACAATATTTTTCCTTCGCCGTATGTCATAGTGATGTCTGGATAATCCTAGAAAGTATAACTCAAAAAAGAATGCGAGTACCATAACCTCTGGGCTACCACAACAAGGTTTATCTTTTGTAGAGAATAGCTCTAAAATATTAATTTCATTATTTCATAGTGAATTATTATCATCGTTCATAGTGAATTATGTTTTTATGTAACTCCTGTAGTGTCCTGTCCATGTAGTTTTCTTCAAAATGATTTAGATTTTTTTTTAACTCTTGGTGGATTATTGCGTACCTGTTCGTCGAGTTTGACTAGTTCCAAGCCACAGTAAGGGATCATATTCATGTATGTATAGCATTGAGCGATACATGATGCAGCAAACGCCGCGCGGCTAACAGCTAAGCTTATTGAATCAAACTAAAACCTACCATTACATGTTTGTAGATAAAAATTTTGCATGCAAGTACAAAAATAGGAATCGATTTATCACAAAGACAGAAACCATTGGTTAGATAATGAGACGAAATGGTTACAAAAGATATTATAAAAAAAAACCATAGTTTAATGTCACAGTAGGTACAGTCTCTGTGCTAAGTAAATCTATATATTTTTGATTTTTTTGCCAAATTACTGTAAAGATTGTACAAAACACTAAGGATGGTAATTCATGAAGGAGTCAGTTAGTAGTAAGTAAAGGCCTTAAAGTACTCTTTAAATAATTTTGTTATTAGCTGACAACTCGCGGATAACAGAGACAGAATTACAAACTTTTATATCGATATAATAATAATATTTAGTACATATTTAATATTTTCATTTCTATTCCATTAGATGTCGTTCAATCACAAATATTTTACACGGTCCTTTCACGCAACAACCACTGAAAGCACCACTAGACTTATGCGGAGTTTGTTTTTCTCATTAAAATCAAAACATATCAGAATTCTACAACACTGAAAACGTATAACATAACAATGTCAATTGCAAGTATTGTAATTTGATTAGCTCAAGACAGTTTCGTTCAGATCCTTTTTTCATACTTTCAGTACCTTATTGAAACCTAAAATTGTACCATATTGGTTTTATTATATGAAAGTATAGCAAGCGTATATTATATATAGTCAAATTTCAGTAATAAATTTAAATTGTAAGACATAGGCTTTTTATGCCCCTTTTAGTAATTTAAGGGTAGAATATATTATAATTACTTGGATAGTATTTGAACAACAAATGAAAATAGAATTTTGAATTTGATAATAATATAAAATTTATACAGATATGTTACGTAAATAGATTATTCTAATTTGAAGCACCAGTAAAAAAACTGTGTTATGATTTAATAATTTATGTGAAACGCTTTTGCAAAACAGCATCGAGGCATTAAAAATAAGTCTTAATAAAATATGTTTGTTGTTTAAAGCCAGAACACGAGATAAGAAGCTTCTTAGCCAAGAATATTAAATCAAATACTTAACCCCCGAAACATCGCTGACGTAGTCAATACAAAATGATTGTTATAACCATATTTTCAATATGAATTCAGTGCTTACCTTACGTTCAAATCCACGTGCAAACACCTCAGATAGTCAATGAACACACACTAAACAAACACTTGAAAGTTTAAGTTATCATTCAATGTTGATAAAATGTGCTGAAAGCTGCACAGTAATACACGATAATAGCACACAATATATGAATAAAATTGTAATAATCAAGATGATAAACGAAATTCGGGGTGTGACAATCGTGTCAAGGTCCCCTCTCTGTTGCTACGGCGTAGACGTCCGCTCCGTAGCGGGTACCCCGTACGACAGCCTCACGTTGCTACGAGCTACGAGGGGAGATTCGTGGCCAATCGAAGTGAAGCTGCGCAAAATGGGAGTGTGCTCAACTTGGATTTTTGAGATTATTTTACAACGCACCGAATTAAGCGTTCTGCGTTCTGGATGACTTGTTTGTTTTATTTTTTGTAATAATGGTGTGTTAGAGTCATATCCTCTATGTCATATTTTTAACAAAACAAAAACATTAGAATATTTTTGTTCTTAATTTGAGAAGTGAATCTAATGAATAATCAGTTGAATTTTGAATTTAGATTTTTTAACGACTTTGATCGTATATTCTTTCCTATATAACTTTTAGATCTAAAAAAGTATGTTAACATTGCTTAACAAGTTTAGTCAACAATAAAGAGGTTTTTTGTGGACTGTAACTTTACAATTATACATGTAAATAAGATACAGTACTGTATTAGACAGCTAGCCAAATTCAATATATTTATTAAAATGACAAAACCCAAGAATTTGGCATATATAAAACAAAAATCTGATGACACCACATAACAGCAAACTTATTTCTTAAAATGTAATCAATAAAAATTTAAAACTAAATATTTCATCTAATATA